TTTGGGGTTTAGGGATTAGGGATTTAGGGTTTAGGGTTTAGGGGTTTAGGGTTTAGGGTGTTGAGTTTAGGGTTTAAGGTTTACGGTTTAGGATTTAGGGTTCAAGGTTTTTGGTTCAGGGTGTGGGGTTTAGGGCTTAAGGTTTAGGCTATCACTTCAACTGAGGCGTCTGACAGACGCTACGCTACGCTACTTCTACCCCCAGTCATCACTACCCATGAACCTTCGAGTGTGCTTTTTTCAGGACAGCAAGCTGTCTTTGAGTCAGCTCGGGAGGCGTTAGCCCAAAACCCGAAGCCTAATTACAGTAGTAACCTCGACCAGGAAGACTGAACTTCTAACCCGGGAGTCGCGGCGCCTAAACCCTAAACCCTAATATAAGGGCCTTAATAATCAGACTACGGTTTTTGGGCCCCATTATACTATAGTTCTAACAAGGGACCCCGCAAAAAATAATATAGGTAATTATTTAGGCCCCTAAACCCTAAACCCTAAACCCGAAACCCTAAACCCTAAACCCTAAAGCCTATAAGCCCCAAACCACCCTCCCGCCTCGCGCAGCGACTCACGGAGCTGTCGGAAGACTGGCATGTGGCTCGTTTCCTCCGGGTGTAGGGTTTAGGTTTAGGGTTTAGGGTTTAGGGCTTAGGGTTTAGGGTTTAGGGTTTAGGGTATCTGAAACAGGGTAACGGGTAATGCAGGGGCCTTAATAATTAGAATAGGGTTTTGAGGCCCAATATACTATAACTATAATAAGGAACCCCCAAAATAGTATGAGTATTTTTTTAAGCCCCTGTCTTAGCGGGTAGGCTCAGGATTTGGGGTTTAGGGATTAGAGAGCCGGCGTGAACTTGCAAATTCTATATTTCTCAAGGCTCCGCATCTATCGTCCAGGACCTGGACTTAGGAGGTAACGGCTTCGGCAAAGTTGGAAAACCCGAAACCCGAAACCCTAAACTTTGGACGAAGAAGAAAGGGAGCTGAGTGAGGGCAGAAGGTTTAGTCCAGCGAACTGACGAGGGAGTTTACACTGCAACATGTTCTAGCGCATCAAACCGAAAGACTACTGCATGCTCAGTTTCGGGCACCCTCAAAAGAACACCAAAATACCTGCACCATACGGCCTGAGGTCTAAACTCCCAACAGTGAACGCTTTTTAGGGTTTAGGGTTTAGGGATTAGGGGTTTAGGGTTTAGGGTTTAGGGTTTAGGGTTTAGGGTTTAGGGGTTTAGGGTTTAGGGTTGCTTTTTACCCCTAAACCCTAAACCATGACCTTTGCTTGGAGATGGCTTTATCTTTTCGCGCGCATCTCGTAGTTTATTTCAGTGCAGGGAGGCATCTGGACTCAATCCAGTACTGTAGGGGCCTTAATTAGAAAAGGGTTCCTTTAAAGGGTTCCTGAAAAATGGGTACTATAACGGATATAAGGGTTCTATGTAGGAGCCTTGATATTTAGAATCGGGTTTTGGGCTATCTTACTATAACTATAATAAGGAACCCCCCAAAATAGTATCGGTAATTATTCAGGCCCTATATTATGTAGCTGCACGTATCGGAACGTTTGGTTCCATCCCGTCCGAGGCGATTTCAATCTCGCTTGCTTCCAAAAGCAGCCCCATGACCGTCTGACCACAACATGACCCGATGGCCGTTCGAAAGCCGACCTATGCCGCAGATGCCTCTTGCACCCGGGTGTAGTTCCGAATATGTGCCCGGTTGAGTGTCCGATTCACGATTGTGTGTGTGTGTGTGTGTGCGTACGATTGTATGAAGACGAAAGTCAGCTTCATCAAAAATTTAAGTACCCTAAACCCTAAACCCTAAACCCCAGCCTCCTTGCTCAAATCCAGCAGCACGAGGCGGCAGCGGCCAAGGGTCTGATGATGGACACAGGGCCAAGATTTGGACACAGACTGGCTATACTATACTACACGAAAATACTCCTATATGAACCCAGGAACCCACGTTTTATAGGTTTTTAGATGGTATTGACTGATTTGTATATGTAAATAAATGACTTTTGGTTGTGCCCCCTCCACTTCTCCTTCGTCAGCCAACGTGACCGCTCAGAAGAATCTCTGCCCCTCCTCCTCCTCATGCCGGCGGGCACCTATGTAACATTATTTATGTTATGTATTAATATTACCCGCTCTCTTACAATTGTTCTCGAAATTCTGTCGGTGTTTGATTTCTTCACACATCTCGTCACGATGCTCTCTCTGTTTTTCTCTGCTGCTTGCTTGCTTGCCAGGGTTTGGGGACTAGGTCCCCTGGCCCGGAGTACCCCTCATGGTCTGCGCATTCTTTTTCTCCCCCTCGCTCTCTCTCTCTCTCTCTATCTCTCTCTCTTCCTGTCCCTCCTTCCCAGCCTCTTCAAATGTTGACGAATGAGCCCAGTTGCTTTTCGTAAATGGCCGCGCATCCTGGCAAAGGTACATTGACATAAAACTGTCACAATTGGTCACCAGCCAGGCAGAGGTCACCAACATGCCACAGGTTCCCCGTACGCTGAATCCCAGGGGGTCGCGACACCTTCACACCTAGCCAGGCCTATGTCAGGCCGTAAACCCGAGACCCTAAACTGCCCTAAACCACAAGCAGAGCCGGCCACAAAGACCTAAGATCCTTATAGATGCCCTATAACTCCCCTATAGATCCCTTTAAGGAACCCTTATGAATGGAAGTTTACGGAAACCATGATTGGACAAAAGCCTTCCGCTGGAGCCACCATCCACATGCCAGTTCAAAGTCCCTAAGCCCTAAACCCTAAGCCCCAAACCCTGAGCCCTAAGCCCTAAGCCCTAAACCCTCAGCCCTAAGCCCTAAACCCTCAATACTAAGCCCTAAACCCTAAACCCTAAACCCTAAACCCTACTTCTTCTACCCCAATGCCTGAGCCACGGGGCAAGAAACCCTCCACCGGCAGCCCAGAGCACCCTAAACCCAAACCTCCCCAAGATCCTGATAGATCCCCCTATAAAATCCCTTATAGCTCCCTTTAATTTAAGGAACCCTATAAGGATCCGTTTAAGGAATCCCTAAACCCCGAAACCCCCTGAATCACCCGCGAGTCCTAAACACCCCGAACGCCCCACAATGCATAAACCCCCAAACCCCCCTAAACCCCCTAAACCCCCTCAACCGGAAAGCCCTTATCGCCTCTACACGCAGAAGGAACTCTGTCCACCAGCGCAGCGCCTGCTCTTCACTTCTTTAGAGTTTACGGTGTAAGGGCTTCCTGTGGCCCCAAAGACCTACCTGTTTAAGGAATTAGATATAGAAACCCTACTGAGGGACCCTAAAGACGGTAGGTCTTTTCGGCCAAGGCTTCAGGTACAGGCGGTATACCTTAACCTACCAACACCTACTGTTTTGCAGGGTCCCTATAAATTCCCTATTTGTTAGGGTTTACAATAAGAACCTACAAGAA